AATAATAATGAGAAAGTGCCCTGAAAGCATTAGAGAATGCTTCGCAACATGCTTGGTAATTGCCAAAAAATAATTTTCCAAGAAATTCCTTATGGATGATCAAGGCCAGAAAAGCAGTACAGTATTGTCCCTTTGCTTTATAAGGGAGGCTAAATCACCATTATTTTCCATCGCGATGAAGATCTTGGCAACAACTTCACTATAGTTGTCCTTTGGCAAGACTAAGACAATACCATTGTCTTATTACAGTAGAAATGTCAATGCTTAATTTGGTGTGCATGCACTTTAGTTTTGAAGCTCTGGGTAAAATCCTTAAATATCGTTTCAATTAAACCTGTTTCTACTATGATTTTCTATACTTCAGCATAAGCCAAATTTTCACAAGGAAAATATTTATTCTCTTGTCACTAGGTGACGAGCAGGCATGAAACTCACATTCCACTGTATACATTTCATACCTGCTTGTTTGGATCTGCCAAGCCATACCTTTTTCATCCCTTTGTCAAATGCAGTGCACCTTCACTTTGGATAGCCGAGTCCATACAGTGAATTTCTGCTAACTCTTCCAAGGAACCATGATTTATACTGACACTGAAAAGTATTTGCATTATAAAGCTTTATTTAGCTTTCTGAATAATAGTGTAATAGGCAGAGTTTCACAGGAGCTGCCTCTTGCTGATTCAGAAACTTCCTTGCAAAAACTTAGCTTTTATGTCTCAGAACCAATTCGCTATGTGGCCGGTCCACTCTTTCAACCTGCCAGGGGCTTGGACCTATATTATTGCCGTTAGATGCCTACCACTTGGGAAAACTGATAAGAGGTCAAGTCTGAAAACATTTAGAAGCTTTGCAAAATTTACACACACACACACACAGATATACTGTACATTTACATATACTGTACATATATTGGCAGAGCCCATGGGAGGCAGGCTTGATTTCAGCAGGAAGCTATTTCTCAAGAGAGCAATTTGTACACAGCCCCCTTCTTTCAACAACGTTCTGCAGTTTTCTGCTAACTCATGCCTGAAACTTTCATTTCTCTGGCCTCCTTTTACACGTTACTCTAGGTTGTCCAACTCTGCCTCCAGTCCTGGTATATGAAGTGAACATCTGGATGTCAGCCCTTCAAGGTAGGCCAGGTCAGGAAACAGCCATCACAAGGACTACTGGAACTATACTCTATTGTTACAGGCTATAATAAAACAGAAAGCCTGTTAGAATTTCTATCTCTTCCCCTTTTATACTAAACAGAATCAAGGTGGGGTAATCCTGAGTTTCTTCCTTCCTTCCTCCTCCCTTCCAAGGCTAACCTGGTATTTACATAATGATTGCTGAATAACTTCTTCAAGGCCATCTCTGTACTTCTTTACAGGAGCTGATCATACTCATGTAAGTTATTTCATAAAAAAATAAAATAATAATAAATAAAAATGGCTATCCTTCCACACCTTTATCTTGCAGATGTCAGGGATAGGAAAATAGTCTCTCATATTGAACCCCTCCTTCTGTATGATTTCTAATTGGCTATTTTGCCTCTCACCCAGTTTAGGATTGAGATCACACCTTTGCAACTTCAGCTAAGACCAAAACATAAAACCAGTTCTGTCTACCTTTCCCCAACCAACTACTTTTTCTATTGTAGAATAATGCCTTCTTCCTTTCTCATTGACATAGAACATTAGGTGATTAGTCAAACTCATTCCAGGCTTCTAATATAATTTCTGAATTCATTTCCCAGATGTTTTACAACCTTCAACATTGTAGCGCTTGTTAACATATTGTCTATGTGATTTTTAAAAGGGTAATAAAACAATGGCAGACCAAAAGGTTAGCACTATCCATGCACTGAATGGCAGTGGTTTCACTGATGTTAAAACTAGGTCTTAAAAAGTGTCTCTAAGACCATCTGTACCTGCAGATTGTCTTACTCTTCCACTTTTTTTTTAACACACACACACACACAACAAATGTACTGCAAGGCCCTTAAACCTTCGTTTAACTTTGCACTATAAGGTACAAAGAATGACTAAATGTTGACGCATAGCTCCACAGACTCTGAGCACCACTTAACTACTTGGTTGCCCTAGTCTTGGAGTCTGTAGGAGCTGGGATTGCCTTGTTTCCTCTGTAGCCAGGTCAAGAGCAGTGAGAGCATCTGCCATAATGACATAGTAACCGGGTTCTCCAAAATATAGACATAAGCTTTGTGTTGTAGGCAGAACTTCTCTTGGGCAGTAAGCTGAGCTCTGCTGGCTCCCATCTACATGGGTCTGGTTTCAAAAATCTCTACAGTGCAATGGAGGAGGAGGGAGAGGAGAATGAAAGTGAATAGGGTTTTGTCCCTCCCACCCATACTCACATGCAGTTCCTTAATACTTCCATCAATGCCCAAGCAAATCTGGATTAATCCAGGCATTGTTTCTGGGATGCCTTGATCAACTAGCTCAATGTATATTTCATCACAGTCCCTCCTTGAACTAGTCCCTTAAGCTTCTTTCATTCCAGTCCACATTCCTGAGTTCACATCTGAAATTTAGTAGCATGATCCTGTATCACACCGTTACTCTTTTGTAAATGGCAGAATTCATGGTTAGCTGTCATCTGCCTGAATCTAGCTCTGAGATGTGCCATCAACTTAGCAGAGTTGTCCAAATCAGGGCAGGCCTGGATATGAACTAGAGTTGCCTATTTTGTAGTCCCTTCAATCATTAGGCTAATCAAGAATCCAACCCAGGCTTCTTTGGTAGGGAAGTTCTTCTAATCTGTAGAGGGCAGAGAGAATAGTCTTGAAGGACAGGAGGAAGAGCCACTACCAGGGCAAGTAACTTGAGAAAACTTCTCAGACAGGCCTTCCCCAGTTCTCATGAAAATAAAGGAACGGCGGGAGAAGCACATTCAGACTTGCAAGATTCTGTTACTATAGCTGTTACAATAAGAGTAACATGAACTACATGGCATTGGTTTCCTAGTCTGGTCTACCTTGTAGGGCTGACAGTCTCAGGGAAATATACAGATCACTTAGACAGATTCACTGCTTCCCTCTATCTGTCTTTCTATCTTCTATCTGTATGCTGCCTGATTCCCAACAACTCTGGGAACTTGTTTGGATTATCATTGTATGTGTCTGGCAAGGAAGCTGGCACTTGGCATTAGAGGCCCAAAGTCTCCTGACAAAGCTATGCAGTTCATGTGCTCAGTGATGACATCTGCCATTGCATCCCCTGCATGATTTGCTGTTTCTCAGTCTGAAAGCTGACCAAAACAGGAAAGTGAAGAAAGAAAAACTAACCAAGAAATTTGGACACCAAGATTTCCGGCATCTGTGCTGTATTTCATGAATTATACCGTAAGTTCCTGTTTGTCGATAGCCAGAGTCATTAGTGGTCCACTGAAACCCAGAAACAATGTGGTTTGATGAAAGACTCAGGCCTAGGTCCCTTCCATGTCACCACTGTTTTCATTCCCAAACACTTTCAAACCAACCTCCAACCATCCTCATCACAGCTGGCTTCAAACCTATTAGAACTCTATATGAGTCAAGTAAAAAGGGATACAGATGTTGCCTAAAAGGAAAGCTGCCATGATACTCTTCCTCTGATCACATTTTAAGAGTGGTGGACTGAGAAATGCCACTTCATTGGAGCCGCTACCAGGAGGGGAAGGAGACCAGGAGCTAGCAGGCAGGAATTCCTGACAATGGAAAGGAAGCTACTTCTACAGTCCCTGGAGCTCAGCCATTCTAAGTGAAAAACCCGCTGCAGCATTTTTGGATGTACTGCAGCTGAGCCAAAATAAATCAGCTGGGCTATTGATTAGGAAATTATACATTAAGTTACATCATTAACATCATTAACACAGACAAATTTAGAGGATTCTGTACATTTGCATCAGTTACATTTTGTAATTCCCACCCCTACACCATTTCCCAAACTGAGGCTTAAATAAATCCAGCGCTTGGATTCTGATCATGATTTGATTGCCATAATTCCTCAGTACCATGTAAATACTCTGAAACTTGTAGGAGCAAAAGTTACTTATTATTTATCTTTGTTTTATTGCGACTTATCTCAGATGCCAAACATATCTGCAGTCTTCTATCAGGGCAACAAAACTAGTGACTACTGTTTTCTTAGATACCACTAAAAGGCAGAATCAAGAGCCCACATCTCTCCTCTTTCTTTACTTTCTGAATGTGTAAGTCTGTTCAATAACTTATAGCTCCCATTCCTAGTAACATTGGCTCTGTGAGATACTTTGCTTCATTAAAACTGAGAAAATAGAATTACCAGCTCAGTTAGTAATGCAGAATATTACATTCTGATTTGAAGATGGTTGAAAATTTGGTCCAGATCCTATTTTCCAGTTTAGACAAAATGAAAAATTAAAATAAAGTTTCCTGGCTCATTTGAGATGGTTGTAGACTGATTACATGGTGTAAAAGTATTTAAATATTAAAATGAAACATTCCAATATTTCAGTATGTATACTGTTCTCAGCATATCCCATTGTGATTTGCAGGCCCATATCTGTTAGCATTTCAAGGTGTTTGTCAATACATCTCCTTCCTTTATACTGATATACTTACAGAAAAATGGTATATTATGTACAAGTTAGCTCTTGAAGCTCTAGGTAATCCTCCTAGTTTTGTGAGGATTTGGTGGATATGACCATTCCCCCCCCCCCCCCCAAATCTAAGGGTTCTGTTGGAGAAAGTTTTTAAGAAACCAAACCATTTCTGTTTGGGTGGTTGGGCAGGCAAAGGCAAGACAAGCATGCAGACTGATTCACCCTTCTATTACAAATCACGCTGTGGTCACAAAGGGAAGAGTTTCAAGAAGCCGAATAAGAGGAGGAATTCCTGTTTTGGAGATTAGCTCATTCTTTCCCAAGACAAAATTGCACATCCTACAAGCAATATCCTGGATTGTGCATATATGCTCAGAGATACAAGATCCATTGTGACATGAAAAAGTAAAGACATAAATCAGAAGAACTTTCAAAATCCTATTATTTCCAAATCTATACTCAACCATTGCCAGGAAGCTAAAGTAAAGGCGGGGCGATTTTATATATACAGTAAGAAGTGAAATGGAAATCTTACTCTTATCCATTCCAGACCTGGCAACAGATTGCTGTTCCCTGTGGACAAATTACAGTGAGGTGAGACGATCTTTTTCATCCTTCTTTCAACTGTACAGGTAGCCATGTTTAGTGCTCTTTCTCATAGTACTGATCACAATGAGCTGAAGCAAGAGAGATAAACTACATGGTATGATTGATTGATTGGCTTGGCGGACCTGAACGTTACTTGAGTGAAAACAGGAGACAGCTCCCTTGGGGGGAAATGGGTCGGATTGCAGACCATAAGTTATCGAGTATGCAGCAGTAGGCAAGGTGGTTCTTCCTAGAATTCATGCTGTAGGAAGGCAAAAATCACCTTTACCTTCAGAGCAGCCCTAGAATGAGCAGGATCAAATATTCCAGATTTTTCTAAAAAACATTTTTTTAGAATTCTAGAAGAACAATTGCAGCATCAACTATGCTTTATTGAAATTGGCAAGAAAAATTATATGTTCTGAAAGGTTTTTTTAAACAAGTGATAGCTTGCTAGTTCAGACCTGATGACAAATTGTGATTGTACAAAACAGTGCTGAATGCTTCAGATGTAGATTGTGCTATAAATCTCTCTTTTGTATCAATAACACAAAATGCAGGAACAATGGGTGTGTAACTTCAAGATTCATCCATGTAACTCTATTTTACAGTTGGGTGTGACTGCAGATAAGCACATTTCTCAATTGGCTGAATCCACACAACATGCTAAGGCATAAAAAAATTATTTCAAATCCCAGTTGCTGTATTTATGCAGTGAGAGCAACAGCATTACTGGTTAATTTGGGGGGTTTTTTTGTTTGTTTTTTTCCTATTCTACCATTCACCCTAGTTTTCAAAGTGTTAAGACAACTAAAGTAACAGAAACCATTACAATTCTTTCAAAATCTTCTAGGTACTAGTTTCACCATGAACAGTCTTGTTGAAGCAAACACCAACTTTGCTGTGGACCTCTTAAAATGGATGGAGAAAAAGCATTCCACGGAAAACATCTTTTTCTCTCCATTTAATATCACAGCAGCTTTGTCCATGGTCCATCTTGGCAGCAGAGGTAACACTGCTGATGAAATGGGAAAGGTAGGAATCCTCATGCAGTTGTGCTCATTAAATTTGTTCAGTTATGTAATTATTGTTCTTGCTGTTGTCATTATCCCATTTGCTTAGCGATAATCAGAAAATATTTCCTATTGATCACTATGTGGGTGAGCATTTAAGGTTGACATTCTGAACGGAATCATGAGGATTCCCTCCTTGCTCACAGCCAATCTTCTTAACCGCAGTTTCCAAATCCGCTTAGTCGTACAACTCATTCTTAAGATGTATATAAAGCCTGAGGAAGCCCATACGGCAAAGTGTAAGAAAACCTATGTGTTTTTATGAAAGCCATTATTCAGGAATATAGGGAAGTGTGGTATGATATGATGTGGAGAAACCTAAGATTACCAGAGCAGAAAATAATAAGAAACACTGAGGGTAGCAAGATGTTGGAAAAGAGAACTTGGTGTGTCATGAAGCAACCTCTGCAATTTCTAAGCTTGCCTGCCTCTCGGTCACAACAAAACATGCGGCCGCATTAGCTGTGTTGAAGTCAAGTAAGCTCATTTCCTTGTAATTGTGGGAGGACACCACTTTGTCCTTGGACTATATTCCCACCCCCCATCCCCCACCCCCAAATGATAGGCCGGATTAATAGGAGTGTTAGAGATTGTGGCCCAAACATCTGGAGGATGTCACGTGGAAGAGTGCTGGCCGAGGCGGCATCCATTTGAACTCGGCTACTCTTCAGGACAGTCCCTTCCATGCCTTTTCTCTACATCAGTGGCCCTGGGGAAAATGGATGCATTTGTTTTATGAAGTTCCAAGGAAGCTGAATTATGACAGAAGGATAGGATGACATAGATCACAATCTCCAATTTATTTTGTATTGCAGGTCCTTCACTTTGACAAAATCACAGGATCTCAGAGCTCTACAGACTTGCTTGTAAGAGAATTTTCATTGAATGTCATTTTATCACTAATTCTACTTAAGGAAATATTGACATCTTGTGGGTGTCAAAAAATTCTGAACTTTACACTGAAAATACCAAATATGTTATTTCTTAGTATAGACGTATTAGAACATTTGGTATCCTGAACTGTATTTGGATGAGCAACACGCAGTCAAGTACATATTTTCTTGGGACTAATATACATTAAAACCATTAAAAAAGCATACAAGTAGTTTAAGCCCAATATATACTGAGCAGTAAGAAATAAGAATAATCTTTCACCCTTTAGTTTAGCAGCTAAAGGATATATCAAAGAACTGGGCAATGGCACTAAAAAGACTGCTCCTCTCCAGTAAAACAGAATATATACTTCTTGAACTCATTTAACTATCATGGATATTGACTGTCTCAGCATTTGGTGCAAATGCCTTGGAATGGCTGGGAAATGTGTTCCTGTGAATGTAATCTCCTGTCCTTTGGTTCTTGAAGTCTTCCCCAGCCCAGTGTGACAAACCTGGCGGACCTCACAACCAGTTCAAGGAACTCCTAGCAGCCATCAACCAGCCTACCAACAACTATACGCTGAGCACAGCCAACCGTCTGTATGGATCAAACATTTATGAATTCCGCCAGGTGAGAATGGAAGTACCCCCCCCCCCCGCCCCTTCCTGCCCATGCGGTACTCTGACCGATTGAGGGCACAAGTAACACTTCTTTCTCCATCCTTAGAAGTGAATATAGATTGTCAAATCAGATGGGTGGGGGTAGGGTCAAAATCTTGTTCTCCCTTCCTTTTTCATGAGAATTTCCACTTTTGCACCATTAAATAGTTAAAATAGTGGATGGTCAAAAGGGGGAACACATTAGCAGTGAGGTTTCTTTTGAGCTGCACGGAACTGACATCCACGCAGTTTTGTAAACAACAATGCAGTTTCTCTGGGATTATTTTCAACTTCCCAGCCTCCCCTACTGTCTCTGACCTGGTTCACTTTTGGGGGTCAATCACACCGGGCTAGGTGCTGCCATCCAGTTTGTACCAGCTACAATTGTTGATTGAGTGTATATGATGAGAATAAGGGGAGGAACATACTGATATGATGACCTCTGTCATTCTGTGCAGCAATACTTACAGTGCTCCAAAGATTTATACCATGCAGAACTGGAAAGAGTTGACTTTGTGAATGCAGCTGAGGCCGTTAGAAAGCAAATTAATTCCTGGGTTGAAAGTCAAACCAATGGTAAGAAATCGTAGGTTAATCTTCATTTTCCTTGCCATTGATCAGCTGGGAAGGCTCACTGGATTTCCCACACTGAATGGCAGAAAAGCAGAATATTTAGTCACTGCCAGTTAATGGGGCAGGCCAGCTAATGGGTTTACTGATGCTAGCAACAGCCAATCATTGATTGATATGCTGTGGATTGATATGAGGTGGTGTGGAATGAAGTGCATGTCTCTGAATATTGCATCACGAAGAATTGCATGTGATCTTGAAGTTGCTCCATGCCCCTTCAACATGTCTATGTCTTAGGGCCAAAAAGGTCATTCATGAATTCATTCATGGTCATCATTTTAAAAATATATATACTGCTGCCCAGTTTATTCATTTGCATATCAGGGAAGACTTAATTAATATTCCTGGGTGTGAGGCAGAAAAAAAGAAAAGAATCTGATTCAGTGGGGAAGCTTGAGACCTGGAGTTTTTGCCGATCTGTAAGGTATCCAAAGTTGTATTTTCCTGCTCCCACAGGATCTGAAAGGTCACTGATCCTATACTTTTAGGACAAAGGTTTTGTATGGATAAGACTTTTAAATGTATGAAGGTAGAAAAGATTTCAGCTTTTTTTAGTCTTTCGTTCATTCTTTTTCCTTTGTTTTTGGATTACTTTGATTTTTTAAACTTTCTTCTCTACCCTTACTCAAAATTTGCACTGTAGAAAGAAGTGAATTGTTGATAAGGTCTGTCCTCTACAGCTAACATTTTTCATGTCATTACTTTTCAAAAAGGTAAAATCACGGATCTGTTTCCTGAGGGCTCAATTACCAGAGCAACTGTCTTGACCTTAGTAGCTGCTATATACTTCAAAGGAAAGTGGAAGACGGAATTTGACCCAAGCAATACCCACGAAGCAGACTTCTGGATTACCAAGGTAGAGCATGAAAAAAGCCGGTGAAGATGGCAATGTTTTGTCACAGAATTCAAAGTTTGACTGAAGTGGCTGTTTATTTGATGGGCTGAATTCTAGAATCGCAGGGTCTCTGTTGAACACTTTCAAAGTCATTGCGGCTTGTCTACTGCATTCAAGAATACGCCTCACTATTCCTGATGTTGTTATTGCTTTATTTCTAAGCATTGCTTTATTTGTTATAGGACCGGAGCAAAAAAGTGCAAATGATGTCTCAAAGGGGCAAATTTAACTTAGCTAGAATAGCAAATCCTGCAATGCGAGTGCTTGAGTTTCCCTACGATAAGGAAGGCCTCAGTATGTTCATCCTCCTGCCAGACCACAAGGGAGCTACGGATGAGGTAACTTGATTTCTGAAATCATTCAGAAGGGGATTTCAATCAACTTGATGCGTATGTTTTGAATATTTTTATCGCTAAGGCGGTCCTCTGATTGCATATTCTTAAGTGGTTCTTATATGCTAATTAGCATTTTCCCCTACTTTTCTCATCCATTTCTTACTTTTTACACACAGACACATAGATAAATGCACACACAGGCACTTGCAAACACATCCAGCCATCCTGCCTAGGCCGCCGCCTCTGGGAATGCAAAGCAAACGCCCGTGTGGTCTCCCAAACGTTATCCCCACACGGCCTCCCAGTGAGGAAGAGCAGGGTGGGTGTGACTGAGCTCCCTTTGAACCCAGGCCTCTCCAGTTCCAGCCCAACACCATAAGCACGATTGTCCCATTGCTTTTCCACACCAGGCAGAGATATCCATCAACACAGGCATCATTGGGGAGGCACGGAGCAGAGACAGGTTCATTTAGGACCAAGTTTCATCCCTCGGTAATTTTTAGAGGATAAGGTTGGTTACTGGAGAAAGCATTGCAGCTATTTCAAGTATTTAGCCCAGGGTTTAAAGAGTCAGTTCTTCACCGACTACATTTGCTTGTCCGGCGACATCCTTTCATCATTTTCTTCATCTCCTTTCCTTCTGCACAAGCTTGAGGATTTTGGAAGCATTTGCTTCTGCTTTTGACTAGCTACAGCTTCTCATCCAAACCTGGCACTATCGTTTATCTTACTACACTTGGCTTAAAGAAAGCGACTTCAGGAACTCTGCTGAAGGATGACTTCCCTGAACGTCACCATCGTCAATATTTCATCCTGTTTGCCTGTCCAGGTGACATCCCAAAGCACTGCTGAGCGATAGTCAAAGCAAAAACTTCCAAACTTTGCCTTTTGGGTTTATACGACCCTGGCAGAAGAGTGTGAGCCCATGGCTTCTAACCTTTCATGTTTTCCTCTTGTTATTCTGCACCAGAAATATGGAAAAAGTAGACAAAACAGTCCATGCTTCGAAAGCAGTTTACGAAAACTCTTTTAAAAAAATCCACTATGTAGCAGTTTTCCAACAGAATTTAGCCAATCCTTTGCTCCCAAATTTCAGTGAGGAAGAAGACAACCAAGGCAGGGGAAGTTCAAGGGCTGGCTGGGGAATTCTGGGAGTTGAACAGTTCTTTAAGTTGCCAAGATTGAGAAATGCTGTTCTAGGGACTCATCAGCCTCAGTGTCTGGCTTGCTCCTACAGAGTCCCCTTCCCTGGTTTGGCAGGCAGATTTTCCATCCCCAGGCAATACAATAAGGCAATGTTTCTCAACCTTACCAAGTTAAGATGGGTGGACTTTGACTCCCAGAATTCCCCAGCCAGCATGGTTGGCTGGGGAATTCTGGGTGTTGAAGTCCACCCATCTTAAACTTGCCAGAGTTGAGAAACACTGAATAAGCAGAGATATGCATTATAGTCTTGACCTGAGTATTTGCTGCTAGGCGTCTTGATGCTCTCTTCTTTCCATTCATTAAAAATAACCTGCATATTATTTTTTAAAGAAAGTAATATTTGCACAGATATATTTGCTACTTTCTTCTGAACAAAATGCTTATTCTGAAGGAATTGTCATTTTGGAAGGTAATATTTTAGTTTTTCTCGATCCCTTTTTCGAAACAATTTTTTCATTCACGTACACTCTCATGATGTGTCTCTTTTACCTGACAGATTGTGAGGCAACTCACTTCTGCAAAACTTCAAGAATGGACCAGTTCAACAAGTATGGAAAACACAGAGATGAGAGTTTTCCTGCCAAAATTCAAGATGGAAGCAGCATATCCACTCATTTCAATTTTGAGAGAGATGGGAATGAATGATGTGTTTATTTCAGGGAAAGCTGATTTATCTGGCATGTCTGAGAACAATGACCTGGTTGTATCTGAGGTTCTTCATAAATCCTATATTGAAGTGAATGAAGAAGGTACAGAAGCAGCTGCTGCCACTGGGGCAGTTGTAGCTGTTACTAGTGCACCAATTATTCCTGAGTTTAAAGTGGATTCCCCTGTAATTTTCTTAATAAGGCATAATCCCACCAAGAGCATTCTTTTTGTCGGCAAGGTTTCCTCGCCATAAACAAGAGGTGCTGCAACATTAAAAAAATACATTTCCATCTGTTGGGAGCAACAAAAACTTCTTTATTCCAAATTCCATTTTCTACTTGGCTAACATCTTCTATATTTCCTCTTTTAAGAAAAAGCAAATCGTGAAGTACAGCTTTTATTTGTTTACTGAGGTAAAGTCCCTTTACATTGGCACGTGTGTGGAATCCAAAGAATACTTTATACAGCAGACTGTTCTGGAAGTGTGCATTCCTCATGAAACAGGGCCCTTAAGTATATGGGGCTTGATGCACAGGGAGCAAAGGAAATGGGGAGGAGTGGTTAGAGACTCCTAAAACCAACTCCCACAAAATAAGCCTGAAGCAGAGAACCTTAGAATCTCTTTGAAAGAGAAAATGTGTATTTATTTTTTTTTCAAAAAAATAGAAATATCCCACATGAGGTTTGAAGTCACATAAAGCATAATAATGTCCCAATCATTAATTAGCTAACATGGATAGATGTATAACAGACCTGCAATGGATAAATGTGAGATATATGTTGTGTTAAATAAAAACAGAAGAAACCAATGATGATGAGTTCAATATAACCCATTACTAATATTGCTGTTGTTTCTGGATGTATTCACTGTAACTTCAGTGGTTGATGTACTTAAGGTGCTTCCTGATTTCTGATTATGAAATTTAAACTTGAGTAGACAATAAGCTGCTTTGTCATCCATTCATAACTATAAATCGGTGGAGAGACCTTTTGGTTTGCATGTCACTTAGGGCGACTACGGATGTTTTGACTTAGCTTTATAATGACTGTGTTCTCTGTCTCTAGGCTAAAGCTTTTTTGTGACCTCTTGAGTATAACATTCCAACTTACCGAAATAGAATTACAGCAATAACCTTTGAATAAATGTATGCATTAAAAAGACTCAGGTTTGTATTTATCGTATTTACTGTGCAAGAAAATCCAACAGATCAGCCACTAGATCCAGAATAAGAAACTTCTGCTCCTCTAAAAAACAAGTACTCCCCCTCCGCCTCCTACCAATCCAGGTCCTGCCTCTTTCTCCCTTACTCTTGCCCCAAATGGTCATTACTGCCTTCAGCATCGAAGGTTTGGCTAAAACTGCACCAGATCAAGAATAAGGAACCAATGCGAGATTGTTATATGCAGAGAAATGGAAAGATTCTGGAATACCCACAATGGAGGAATGGCTGGTAAAGGTGACAGAATTAGCAGAGGTGGCAAAATTGACTTCTTTGATTAGAGAAAGGACAATAACTACATTTATTAGTGGCTGGAACATCCTTATGGACTTTTTGCTGAAAAAAGAAGAAAACAAACTTGTGATTTATGGGTTTGATGATTAGAAAGGGTAGAGTATGGAAAGAAGGGAATTATGATGTAATTTTAGAGAGGGCAAAATATAAATACATTTATAATTGTGGTTAAGAAGCTAGGAAGCCACTTCATTGCAATCTTTCCTTTTTCTTTGTTTTTCCTATTTCCTTACCTATTCACTATTTTTCTCTATTTCCTTTATTTCTTTTCTAAAATTTATACTGTTTTTATCTTGCTGAAAATCTCTTTAATACAAATTATTTTTAAAAAGAGAGAATAAGGAGCCAATTAACTTCCAGATGTTGCTGAATCACAATTCCTAATCTCTGTTGTATTGAGTCTCCTGACAAGGGCATCTGGGAAATGCTGTACTGTAACATGAAGAGGAGAATATTCACAAGATCATGTTCCGTTGGCTTTAGGGTCTGTAGTGGCAATGCGGAAGATCACTGTGATTTAGGTGACATAGTCTGATTTCTCCTGCACACGTTAAGAAAGCTCACTTTGAATCATAATCATGTTTAGCTGGCTTGTTTTTCACTTTTACTTAGTAGTGGAAAGGGGAGGGAAACCCTCAGGATTGTTTAGGTTAAGCACTAGCTTATCTATACAGTTCCCAGGCTCTGGAATTTTTTGATAAGCAGGTATCACATCTGGTCAAGGTCACTTTTAGAGCCCCTTACTCCAAAATAGAGTCATGGGATTGCAGTGCCAGACTTAATAAAAAGTCTGGCATTGCCCCTGGAATTTGGAGCGTGGACACAGGCCTTGGGACTAGGCACTGTGTTATCTAAACCATCTTGGGGTCTCTCCGTTGTTGCCTTATGGTAGCTCCTGACAGTAGGGGAAGAGTTTTATCATCTTGCTTGGTATGTTATGTTTTTATACTATGCTTATGTATTTCTGTTTAATTCTGTCTTGTAATTCTGTTTAAATCTGTTTGCTAGAGTTAACAATAAAGCTTAAAATCTCCTCACCTGCCGGTGGGTTCATTGTCTCTGGATCTAAAAGAACTAAAAGAACCCATTGCCTGGGCACCTGATCACTGCCTTGACCACTGGCGTAACAGGGTCATAATGGCCTTTGGGCAGCCTGTAGGCATTGCAGTGGACTGCAAACGTTAGTGAGGCCAGGATCCAAAGGCTTTTTTTCAGAGCCAAGGGGAAAAAAAGAAGAGTGATATGAGAAAAAAACATAAGGGAAGGGAAGGGAAGGGAAGGGAAGGGAAGGGAAGGGAAGGGAAGGGAAGGGAAGGGAAGGGAAGGGAAGGGAAGGGAAGGGAAGGGAAGGGAAGGGAAGGGAAGGGAAGGGAAGGGAAGGGAAGGGAAGGGAAGGGAAGGGAAGGGAAGGGAAGGGAAGGGAAGGGAAGGGAAGGGAAGGGAAGGGAAGGGAAGGGAAGGGAAGGGAAGGGAAGGGAAGGGAAGGGAAGGGAAGGGAAGGGAAGGGAAGGGAAGGGAAGGGAAGGGAAGGGAAGGGAAGGGAAGGGAAGGGAAGGGAAGTTACAGACTAGGACAATGGAAGTGAGACGGAATTGGTTGGCTGGGCACAGGAGACACGCACAGAAAGCATTTGCTGCGGTCAAGTAAAATGTTTTGCCTGAAAATCAAATCTCTATTTTCTAAGGCATTAAAGAAACTATGAAAAATTGCTAGAAAAATGTGTGTGTGTGTGTGTTTTTTCACCTGAGGCCTTTTGCTTCTCCTCCCCACATGAAGAATTATGAAATTATTCTTAATGTTTTTATTTTATACAATACTTTAAAAATACTGTTAAAATATGCCTTTTCATTTTATTCATTGAATGGTTTCTTCTGTTTTAACTTTTTTTTGCTGCCCATTGCCCTGTATTTTAATTTGCCCATGCATGTCAAAGTGTGCTCATTGTAGGCTACTCTGCATAGTGCTGGGGACCACTGGCCATTTCCAATACTTATATGTTGTTCCTCTTGTTTCCAATACTGTTTTACCAGATAGACATATCTCTTAAGAGTTCTCCTTTGCCTTGAAGGGGGAAAAAAGCAATTAGTATGAAATGCACTTAATTAAGAACATGAATGAGAAGCCTTAATGACCTGATGGCATATAATCAATAAAAAAAAAGGCATTGCCTAATAGGAACCTGAATTATAATTTTGCTGCCTGATGAAGAGCAGAAAATGTCACCAGAAGTACTTCTTCACCCTCAAGAGAAACCTGGGAAAGTCACTAACTCTCATGCTAAGCTATTCCAGAGGTTCTTGTGACAATAACAATGACACTCAAGCATTATCTCCTACAATGAAAGTTGACTTTGAAAGTACTGCAAATCAAGTACAGGTAGTGGTCACTTAACAACCACTCGTTTAGTGACTGTTCAAAGTTACAACAGTGCTAAAAAAGGTGAGTTATGACCGGTGCCCAAAGTTACAACCATTCCAGCACCTCCGTGGTCACATGATCATGGTCCAGGCACTTGGCAACCAGCTCACACTTACAATTACTGTAGCATCCCAGAGTCACGTGACTGCCATTTGCGACCTTCCCAGCCTGCTTCCGACAAGCAAAATCATTGGGGAACCTCATGATTTGCTTAACAACCATATGATTCGCTTAACGACTACAGTGATTTGCTTAATGATCACCCCAAAAAGGTTGTAAAATTGGGTCCAATTTGCTTAACAACCACCCCATTTAACCACCAATTTTCCAGTCCCTATTGTGGTCATTAAGCAAGGACTACCTGTACGTATAAACTTGTCTGTCACAGCCTCTTGCAACTGTCCTGATGGGACAAGCCAAACAGAACCTCCTATCTCAAAACTGTCTTGCAGAAACTCTAGCTAGAGCTCCTGCAAATGCAGCTCAGTCTTGGCTGATCTACTTCGTCCCCATGGGTGGAAGTTGGAAGGCAGCTGAGACCTCCAGAACTGCAATTCTCCTATTTGGAATTGGGTGATGACATTGGGGTGGTGTTGTCATGAGTCCAATTGCATTGTTGGTTACACATGGACAAATCAAAAAAAGGATTTTTATGACAGCCACTGTGATATAAGAGTTATAGAGTTGGACCTAGGACCTGAGGAGGACCATATTCAAGTCCACCCTTAGCTACAGAACCTCACTGGGTACCGGTGTTAGTCATTACTTCTTAGTTCATGCCACCCCACAGGATCATGGTTGTGGAAAAATATGGAGAAGCGTGGCAATATGCTGTATTCAGATCTGAATCAGCCAGTGGTGCTTCAGGTGCAAGACAGGCATCCTTTCTTTACTAGTTGGCTTAAAGAAACCGTGCCTTTTCCTGGACCTATGTGAGAGCTATTCTGGAAAATATATATGTATGAGTTAAGGAGGCATTAAGGATATTGTGGCAGAGTGGTGACACCTCTGGTTCTACAGCAGCATTTAGAATTGGGGAAGGAAATGAATGGAGAGCCAATAAAGAAGATACAAGAGTGATACAATTGACCACAACACCCATTTCCTGTCCATGCTGCACCAGCTATACTTCTGCAGTTTCAACTGATATCTAATTATAGGAAGAGAGTGTATATCTTTGTGGAATTGTTGGAGGCATTATCAACATATTCACTATGTTTTTATGAAATGCTTCTGCATCATTAGATCGTCTAAACTTCTCTTCATTCAATTAGCTCGGTTTAGTGAATTTGACTCTGATGGTCTATACTCTCTGAGCTAGAGAGCTGAGACTTATCTTCAATCAATAAGGGGCACTGGCTGTCCTTTCTTAAAATAATAGGCACAAACATATCAAATTGTCCACAGTTCTGTGTAGGTCCTGGGTTCTAAATTCCAAACACTGTTTCGGGACAAGAAAAGTAGGACAATGTCACCATTCATTTTGTGGATGTGTTTGCTCACACAGGCTCCTTTTCCACAAGATTGTGTCCAAAGTAAGTAAGAACAGTGGGAGGGCCTGGTTCTTTCAATGTCATCCTGTGCAAAAGTGAGAAACCAATGCAACCAGTCCAACAAATACTAGAAATTGTGATTCAGCACCATCTGGAAGTCCTTTGGTTCATTGTCCTCAATCTGGTACAGTTTGGGTCAAACCTTTGGCACTGAAGCCTGTAGTGAATATCTGGAGCAGGTCTAAGCAGAAGTGAGGAGGGTGAGATGCCAAAAAGGCAGGACCCAGATTGGGAGATAGGGGGTAGGGGGAGTACTCGTTACTTTAGAGGAGTTCTCAAGGTGCAGAAGTACACTGAATAAAAGCAATCCTGAGTCTATTTAATGCATACATTTATTCAGAGGTTATTGCTGTAATTTTATTTCAGTCAGTTAGAATGTTATACTCAAGAGGTCACAAAAAAGCTTTAGCCTAGAGACAGAGAACACAGTCATTATAAAGCTAACTCAAAACATCCGTAGTCGCCCTAAGTGACATGCAAGCCAAAAGATCTCTCCACCAATTTGTAGTTATGAATGGGTGACAAAGCAGCTTACTGTCTACTCAAGTTTAAATTTCATAATCAGAAATCAGGAAGCACCTTAAGTACATCAACCACTGAAGTTACAGCGAATACATCCAGAAACAACAGCAGTGCTAGTAATATTGAACTCTTCAGCTGAAATCATTGGTTTCTTCTGTTTTTAAGAGAGCATATGTCTCACATTTATTCCATTGCAGGTCTATTGTACACCTATCGATATTAGCTAATTAATGATTGGGACGGTGATGAGATCCAGGCCTGCTTTGTATGGCTTTTAACCTCATATAGGATATCTGGCTATGTAATCCCAGACAAAGGATTTCCATTTATTTGATTAATTGATTGATTGATATTACACCTTTATTTTGTATACCTCAAGGCAGCATACATAATGCTTGCTTCTCCTGTTTTCCTCATAACAACAATCCTGTGTGGTAAGTTGTGCTGAGAGAGAG